CTATGAAAGCTGAGAGTTCGAAAGTCACCAAGAGACGCTTGTCTCCAGAAACACTTGAGATGATACGCTAGCGTGGAATCGCCATGGCTGCAGGTAACCGCGAACTAACGTCCGAATTTGCAAAACAATGCAGGCAGGCGATGAAAGAAGATCATAAAGAGAGAAGAGCAACAGCAATGGTCGAAGCTGCAGAGGCTGGGAAAAGCTTTCGCAAAGTCCACCCAAGTTTTGCCAATTACAGGACCAAGATGATTGCTCTCCGACGCCCAGACTGAACAGTTACAGCGTCCTGAAAGGCAATGGAGAAAATCATTAACGTATACAGCTCGGATCTCTTCGATAGCCACGTCCACCTTACGTCGTATGAAATAAAGGAGGATGGATATGTTGTACCACCGGTTCTCCCTTCCGAAACCCTACATGCCATTTCGTCGGTGAAAGATATAACAGTACCAGGTCCGGACAGGATAAAACCAGAACTCTTGGAGAACCTTCCGCCAGTCCTCGTAAACACACTGGCTCGGCTCTGCGCATGTTACCTGTCTGAATGCAAAACCCCTACTCAGTGCAAGAGCAGCAAGACCATGTCATTGTTCAAGAAGAGTGACCTGCACGATATCGGCAACTACCGCCCCATCAGCTTACTAACTGTCATTCCCAAACTTTTCAGTCGAGTCATCCAAAGCAGGATTAACAGAACACTAGACGAAGGACAGCCATGTGACGAAGCAGAGTTTCAAAGAGGATTTCGTACGATGGACCACATCCACACGGTAACACGGCTCATTGAAATATCGCGAGAGAACAAAAGACCGCTCTGTTTCACTTTCATCGATTTACAGGCCTTTGATTTAGTTGAGATAGAAGCAGTCTTGGAAGCCCTTCATAGTCAAGGAGTCCCTACTCAGTACATAAAAATTCTTTGTGAGCTGTACAAAAATTTCACAACCAAAACATCACAATTCTACAACGTTGTTAACGTTGGCGTCAAAAGAGGGGTTAGTCAAGGCGATACCATCTCGCCAAATTATTTACCGCCGCCCTCTAGAACGTCATGGGAACATTGGAATGGGATAATATGGGAGTGAAAATCGGTGGTCGGCAGTTACATCATTTTCGCTTTGCTGATGACATCGTCCTTATAACACCAAATATTAGCCAAGCGGAACGTATGCTTGCCACCTTTGATAAAGCCTGTGGAAAGATGGGTCTTCGACTAAATCTCACTTAAACGATGTTCATAAAGAACGGATTGGTTTCGCATGCTCCACTCACGCTCAACGGAACGAATTTCTACGAGTGCTCCAGTTATACCTATCTAGGTCAGGAAATCAATATGATGAACGACCTAGCTTCAGAGCTGAGCAGAATGAAACGAGCGGCTTGGGGAGCTTTCAAGAGCATCGAGGATGTAGTGAAGAGAACAAAGAACACCCGACTTCGTGCCCACCTTTTCGGCTAAACGGTGCTTCCTGCCCTAATATATGAGTCAGAAACCTGGTTGCTGCGTAAGCAAAATGAAAGGTCACTTAGCGTCATCGAACGCGCAGTCGAAAGGACGAGGCTAGAAGTATGCCGTTCCACACAAGTAAGGGATGGGATCCGAAGCTCCGACCGGCGTCAACGATCAAAAATCAAGACGCCGTTGTGTACGCCAAACAGTCAAAGATAAGGTGGGCCGGACACGTAATGCGTCTGAATGGCAACCGATGGACAAGAGCCGTTAGCGGCTAGATTCCTCGGAATGTCAAACGTACTGCAAGACGACCACTAATCCAATGGTTTGAGGTCTTCACAAAGAGCCTTGAGAAAAGATATGATGCTCGACGAGTCCCTAGAGCGCGCAGAACCCATTGGGCTACTCTTACACGCGTCAGGGAAAAATGCAAAATTTACTGGGGCCCATTCGAGTCACTGGACGATCAACGGGGCTACGGGTGATACAGGTGATAACAAAGAATACAGAGATGACAATACTGGTGGCTCATCGTTGGTGCGACATGGGCTCGAAAAGAAAAAAATTCTCACCTAAACATTCACATTTAACCGAAATGAGCTTGTCACCTCTCTGTTGCAGCCCTTTCTGCTTTAATAACTCTCTCAGAGATCTGTTCACAACTTAGATTCGAAGAATTGATCTTACCTATTTCTAAGGAATTCTTATTGAAGTCACTCTTAATGTGCTTTCAAATACTCGACTGGCTCCTCATAAATTTTAGGATAACGAAAAAGAATCATTTTCTGAACTATCATCCACTTTGTGTCAAAAGTTTGTTGTCATGGTTGTTTGCTGGCTATGAGATGAAATTACCTTCTATAAAAATGTCACTCGTACCAAATTAACTTAGAAAAAGATCGATAAAATTTTAGCGTTCACCGTCAGTGAACTGCCAGTCAAGTTACCACTTAATAAGTTTGTTCCGAGTGAACTTTCATGACAATTGTTAAGGTTAGAAAACAGCTTCTCACGGGACACAACTGACATGAAATCCGTATTGGAGTGTGACCTGTAGAGAGTGTGAAACAAAATCTTTGAGTATCGAAATAAATTATTAAAAACGAAACGAATAAAATTTAATGCAATTCATCCGCTTTGCTCTCCGAATTCTTAACATACAATCTCTCTTCTTCGCAGCGTACTAAATCTCCTTCGTCATCACCTAAATTTGTTCCATCATCTACTGGCAAAAAATGCAATGTGGTTATTAGAATTTAAAGTCATACAAAAAGTGAAGGCAACCATAGTCTATGTTTGTATCATTCCAGTGCTCACTGGTAACTACTTCTTCCTTTCTCTATGACTTTCAGAAGCAGTTCGAAAACACAAAGAAACGCCGATTTCGAAACTTCGAAGTGATTTGTATAAAACTTTCACGACGATTCACCCACTACTTTTTGCATTATGCGATAGATAAAGGAAACCAGGCAAATTCTGCAAGGTATAAATGAAGGATAAAGCTCGCGGAGTTGATCGATCCCTGAGGGATGCGCCATGCATTCAACTTCATTAAACATCGCTTAGAGGTGATTTAATGCATACCTGAGCTTTACAATCACTTGTGGTGGCCTACCGATTTATCGAGCCAGTGCTGCTATCCTCCCAGACAAGTCTGGCATCAATTTGCTTACCCTGGCGCTGGTGGGGCGAAAGGCTGGGTAAACGTGAAGGCGGGATCTATTCTATGCATATTGCGGGGCACCCGACCATTACACCACACGCTTCCTACAGGATGTAAAAAATGAGAAAAAGAATGAAGAGATTCGCAAAATTCCAAAAAATAAAGTAGAAGAAACTATGTAAATAATTAAATTCAAGTAAAGAAGCTAAATAATGAACAAAGTCCAAGAAAACAAAGCAAGAAATTTTCTTCATCAGAGAAAATTTCGGAGTAGAAACTCGAGTAACGAAACTGAGAGCCATTTCTTCGGGCGATGCAAAAAAATTAAGACTAAAAAAGCAGGCATGTAGTTTCCAAGAGATCTCGGCAGATATAGCTGATGATCACGCTGTGCTCACTTCACTGGAGTGTTATAAAGGTGAGCGTGTAGTTACCGCATAACCTATACTCATTTCAAGAGATGAGCAACGGTGCCTTTGCTTTAATGTAGGCACTAAGACTCTCATTAAACAGCTAGACATATTTTTACGTATAGTTGTCGATTTGCTTACGTCTGCACCAATTGTATCTCAGGCATCGATTCTGCCAAAATTCGACGATCAAGAAAAGGCGAATAAGTGAACCACTTCGTATCTCTAGAGCCGGAGAACCTTTGGTTCACTATCGAGGTAAAAAAAGATTTCACGAATGCATAACACGGTTAATAATGCTTAACAGAGAACTTGGCCAGTTAGTATGGATATGGCGACCGTGCGTAGCGCAGTGGTTAGTGGTACCTTCCAATGCACACCTGGTCTCTGGTACGATCCCATGCATTGAGCCCACCTAGTCTTCCATTCCTTCGGAGTTGTCAAATTGGCCCCAGACCGGTCTGGCAGGATAGCAGCACTGATTGGATACATCGGTAGGCCACCGCGAGTCATTGTATAGGCCAGAATTGCATTCAATCACCTCCAACGGTGCTTGATGAAGTCGGTGCTCCACGGCAGTCGGCATGGTGCAACTCTCTGGTATTGACCAACGCCCACTGTTCTATTCTTTTATTCTTTAACATAAATGTAGTTGATACAGATTATTTTATAAATGGAATTCTAGATTATAATCTTAAAATCTAGCGAACATTCTGGGAGAATTGGAGAAAGATCAACTGACTTCATAGCAACTACTGTAACGTTGATGCAATGACAATTAAAATCCATCAGGGTCATCTAAGTGGAAGGATAAACAGTTCATCATTTTACTATAAGCAAAAACAAGGCATCTAGTGCGCTTTTTCATGTGATCTGTACATTTACTAGAGTTGGGTGTTAGCTCTGAAAATACGACTGTTGAAAAAAAAGCAGGGTTAAATCGTAAAAGAGAGCGAATGGTCCTTATTCTCTTAAAAATTTCCGTTTTTCCGCCTTTTCTTGCATTCTCAGCTCACTGTTACTATCACTGACTTAGTAATCCAATCTTACACAACTCACTATGCTTTGTTCATGTCCACCGACTTTTAAGAGAATCTCTCTGATAGAAACTTGTAACTCAGCGAGCATCGCTGATGATCCTGGTCAGAGCATTTTTGATCTCGATCGAGTATTGAACGCGGGAACGCCAATGAACAAGGCTATAATAACGTTGATTTGCTCGCAAGTGATATCCTATTTTGTAGTCCTCCAGCCTCTCTTCATTTTTCACATAGAATATTTTGAGCAGAATCATGTGCCTCTTACATCTTGTTTCATAGGCGATAGTACTCACAGATATTTCACACCACTTTGCTCAAATTTCTTTACAAGCCCATCACGATGTCAGTCTTGATCCTTCGTTTAGAAAGTCATTTTATTTGTTTTTACCTCTCGATAACATTTCTTTTGTTACATCGTGCAATTTTTAGGGATGAAACAGTGCTGGTTTCTTCTCCTTCTGGCCATTAACGGATGTCTAAGTAAGTGTTGTGATATTCCTTTTAATTTTTAAACCGAACGAATCGCTTTAGCCTTTAAACAACAAGAAACACTTTTCAGGCAACTCCAGTTCAGAAAAACCCCATCCTTCCGCAGCGTTCCATCTTCCTCTTGTGCTTGAAGCCAATGGCCTTCCTCATTGCGCTCATTACTGTCTTTCCGATCTTTATCTAACTGCCGTCGAACTCTTCACATTAAAGAATCCCGTTAGGTCGTTTAAGGACCTTTGTATGTAAGTTCTCTAAGCTCTAAATAAATGAACGAGCTGCGATGAAATTTAATCCATAAAACTTACTTACTAACTAAAAATAGAAAATATCGAAGAACAGTGGTCCCTTGTAGAACGGATTTCTGGGTGATAATAATTTGCTCATTTTAGTAAACCAACCACGGTTATAACAAGCAGTTATTTATAATTATAAACTAAAGTAATGAGTAAACCAAGTACGTCGGTTGCACCTTCCCTGGTTGGCAATGCCGTCTTCCCTGCCCCACAGCCCACAAGCGCTTAGTGAGTTTCGCCCGCTCGAGAGACACGAAGGCTTTAATGATTTTTATATTAGTGCTTTTGGAGGGGGGATAACGACGCGTTACTCATTAGGCCCTAAGGCATAAGTCCATGATGTGGAAGGAATTCCAATCTTTTTGTAAAAAATTCTACCCTAAAGTTGACTAAGTCCCACAAATATCCCTCGGAAGCGATTAGGCGGCAAGCATTTCTAGGAGCCGTTATTTTCTTGAATTTTTTCAGTTGTTAATAAACGTATTGCATTTGGTTTAGACCGTATGTTCCTTTTTTAGAAATTATCATAACGCATCGCTCTGCATCTTCTCACAAGAAGATTGCGTTAATGAATTCACTTTCTCCTCAGTTTTCAGTGGTATCCATGAGCTATGCAGTATAATGGATGAAAGTATGTGCTTAAGGGAAAATATTCGTATTCACCATTCTTTCTTATGCACAAAACGCTTTAAATTGGTGTTTGATCTACCTCTCTTTGTTTTCAGAAGGAAAATAACTTTTCTTCCAGAACTGGAGTCGCATGCTGATTGTCTCGAGAATACGACGGCGAACATTCTGCAAACTTGTGATAGAACCTGTTACTTCGTTGAATCTATAACTGGGCTGTCCGAAAATGAGAAGGTCCAACATTTGACTAGAACGCCGAGTCATCATGAGCTTTTGTTTTCGGTGAGAATGCATACAGAAAATACGAGTAAGATCATGTAATCTTCACTAATTATGCGATGTTTTGAGCAACATTGGTGTAGTAGAGCACTGAAGGAAAAATAGCTTTTTTTTACTTTTTACACGTGTATGTATGTGCTAGTGAAAAGCGAGAGATCTTAGTTTGCAGGAACTGGATGTGATTTGCTCATCGACAGGTTGTATGCTGGCTTGTGTTGCGAACATGATGAACCAAGAATGTGGAAAACCTTCCGGAACAATTATTGTAGTAAGACTTTCTTCTTTTTTCCTGAGTGAAACGCGCTACTAACTGCGGCCACTGGTGGCCAAGAACTCTTAGTTAAAAAAAGATAGACGGATAAATGATTAGTCCTTTAGTGATGCGCCGTGCATTCGATTTCATTGAGCATCGTTTAGAGGGAACTGAACGTATATCAGGCCTTTACACTGACTGCGGTGGCCTACCGATGTATCGAGCCAGTGTGCTATCCTCCCAGACAAGTCTGATAGCAATTTGCCGAGTTTGGAGGGATGGAGGGCTTGGTGGGCAAAGGGTGCGGGAATCGATCCCATGTGTATTGCAGGGCGCCTCTGGCCGTTGTGTCACACTCGCCAAGTGTCCATCATAGTTATTCTAATCACAGTAATTATCGAGACAAATGAGTTTTTCTTTAAAGCAATCGTTGTTGAAACCGTTCTACTTGGCTGAGATACTTCTAAACAAGCTCGGACCTCGTGCCAGGAGTGCTATTAAGAAACGACTTCCACATGAATGCCACTATCTAATCGACCTCCGTCAGCTCGAAAGAATCACATATGGAAAACCACCGGTAAGTCAGAGACTATCAAATGCGATTTTTATACAATTAGAACTGCAAATCATCGTATTCCTGTGGAGGTGGTGTTATAGGAGGAACTGCCAGTGTACAGTAAGGAGAAGGATGGCAAAGAAATGTATGAAAATGACGTGTCAAGTAAGTTTTGCAACGTTTAAGAAAAATATGTATTCTTTCTTTGATGAGCTTACGCGAGGTTGATAATGATGTTTATTGTTTATTTTACATATTGATTAGTGATACCGAGGTTCAAGGAAAGTCGGTTTCGAAATATTGCTACGCTTTGTGCTAGTTTAAGAAAAAGTTGAAAAGGCTATGTTTTTCAACAAGATCAAAATTGGCCAAGTGAGCCGTTTTTTGTCGAGTTCAAGATTTTCACCTACCGATTAGCTTAACCTATGTGTTGTTTCTAGGTGAGTGGTACTGGACAATGCGCGGTAACAACACACTAGACTGAAAACATGGCACCAGGGAGAACGGACCCTCATTGACAACGTTTAAGCTGTGATTATAAATATGATACGTTTTTATATAATAATTGCAAATTAAACCAGGATTTTACCACCAAGTTTTCAAAGTCTGAAAACACAGAGAGAGTTTATCCGATGTTTGAGCGGACTGCTTTTTTTTATGTTTGCTGTTAACTGTCACTTGCTTTCTAATGCTCATTTGTACATTTTCTTTTTATATAATTGAAATGGAGATGTCTGGCTTTCTAGTGATAACAGTTTTCCACACATGAGAGGTAGTTAATGTGAAAATGATTGATATGAAGCTAGTTTCTATCTAATCAGATTTGCAGCAGAGTGATAAAAGTGATAGGCTTATTCAAAAATACTAAAAACTAAATAAATTCGTTGCACTAAACTATTTTAAAGATTTTTTAGAGCAAACAATTTGCCATAGTTCTTTTGAAAATTAGTTTACCACGATTTTAGATCTGCTTAAATAACACTTTGAAATTATTGGAAGTGCATTCTTCTGCTTTACCAGCTCAAACTTGGACAGAAGTAGCGGCGTAAAATGTTGTCGATATATGGGAAAAGGAGGGAGTTCGGAGTACTAATTAGATGTTTGTTAAGATTTAGAGCGGAATGCAAGAGCCTTTATAGCGAAGAACGCTGTCGATGTCTATTAGCCCATTGTTTGCACCAAAATGAAGCTCCTAAACATTTTCCAAAATCTTACGTGTGAAAAAGGTAGTCGTGACTACTTTTCGCTTTTAGCGGATGAGTCGCCATCATCTTATAAAACATCTCAACTACTCCAATTTTTTTGCAGCAATATTATAATACATTGCACAATTAACGCTGTAGAAGTTAAGCGACTAGATCACAAAACTCCTCATTTAGCATTCTTATAAGATATCTCAACAATAGCCCACCACTTCGTACCTTGAAGTGTCTCGATAATATTTCCCATGGGAAATTTTCAGTGACCAAGTCATTAATTATGTTAACATTTTATTTTCTGCCTACTACAGTTTTTTCACAAAAGGGTATTGTGTGAACTAGAACCATAATGATGCTGAGACATTTGCAAAACTCCGGACCGCAGGTGTTCACAGTGGGAACGAACGCGCTACAACCCTTTCCGGGGGTTACCGCGTTCACCACCAGTGAAGTCGTCGTTTTTTACACATTTTTTCCTTTTTCTACAGGATGGATTTTTCGAAAAATAAATAGTTATCGACGGAAAATCACCGCTATCGATAAGAACCCACCCTGTATAAAAGAGTATCGCCGGATGAGTACTACTCATTGGAGAGAGATATTCCAATGAGGAAGATCCGACTCGATACGCGACGAAGACCCCACCTCGAAAACGCGAACAACTGTGAACCATTGACTCAAGTCATCGGCTCTGATAAAGACGAAACCATAGAAACATCAGTCCTAAATGAGCATTGTCTACCAAACTTGTGTAGGCTTATCAAAGAAAGGAAGCGTAATGAAGTCGTTGTTGAAAACCGCTTCGAAGAATTCTCTATATTCAAAATTTAAGAATCCTGAGCTAGTGAAATAAATTAATTTGCACCTTATTTACAAAAGTGAAGATTCGAATTACTCTCATTTTTATCAATAAAGTTTTCTCTATGGTTATGTACAAAGGATAGAAGATAAAGCGCTGAAGTGTTAAAAACAGTGAAGCGATACATCGTAAAAGCATCGAGAGTCATTTTATACGTGAAATAAAGAATTCAACGATCTCTGCGGTGCTACAAATGCAAATGAATGCATGGCACATCGCAAAGGGATTGATCACACCCAAACGATTTACTGCTTTAGAGTGCAGGACAAATGGATAATGCTGCCGTTAATTTGCTTTTATAACTCCTTCAATAAGTTTCGTGCTGTCATACCAATATTCTAAAATAGGACAGTTATATCACATTAGAAGTAGCCCAAATGATAAATATTCAGGAAAAACATGAACAACAGAAGTTCATAATAGGTAGGAATGGGTTATCCTGGTTTTCCGCTCTGATATCCCATGGAATTCTTCGAGAAATTCTACATTTAGCTGCTACTACTTTTTGTTCCTTCACTTCGTATAATCAACAACGAAAAAAAACAGTTGAGTATACTTAGTTGTTCGCACTATCGCTTTTTAGTTGCACTGCAAATTCACTCTCCTTATGAGTGAAAAAATGACGGCACTCGCTCATAAAGATCTCCTGCCTGTTAGCAGGCGATGCAACGTGGCAAGGTTGCAGTTGGCGGAGGAGGATAACCCGCTGCTTTCCTGAGACGCAGGTGGGTCCAGAAGATGGAGACCCTGTTCGTGCTGCTTCGAATTGAGAAACGTGTGTTCACGTCTATGCGAACTCTATTTCTTCGAGTCATTTTGGCCAAAAGCGGCAATCAAGTGACTACGAAGTATATGGGAGGTGGTTAGGAATCGCCATGAACAAATAAGCTTCTCGTCGAGATGTCTAAAAGGGAGCGGTAAGCTACCCGTAATTATACCCACCTCCACGTTTATAGCCTAACAAGTTTTACATGGGCGTCACCTGTACCGCTGATCGCCTAGCGAATTGTGCGGGCACAGTATATCTTCATTTTCTCTACGTCGAGTGCAAAAGTAACCTAATAAATTCTGCTCGCTCTACTCGCTCTAGGAACTCGTTTAGTACCATATCTTTCATTCTGGCTTTTCGTGAAGAATCAGACCATTGGATTAGTGGCCTTACTGCAACACGTTTGACATCCCGAGTAATCCAGTCGTTAGCGGCTCTTGTCCATCAGTTGTCGTTCATAGAAATTATTTGTCTAGCCCACCTTATCCCTGCTGTTTGCATACAGAACGGCATCTTTGATTTTTGATCGTTCACGCAGGTCGGAGGTTCGCATCCCTTCCCTTACTTATGTGACATGAGATACTCCTAGCATCATCCTTTCAACCTTCCGTTCTATAACACTGATTGATCTTTTAACTTGCTACGTTTTAACGAGGTTTCTGGTTTCCATATGTGAGTATGAAGGTCTAAAGAAACAAAAAAAAGAGAGAGGAGGCATTTCTCCGGCCCCGAAAGAGCTCCCGATTTGACACGACAGCATTAGAGAAGACGAGTACGGAAAGGCTGCTAAAACCTCAGGACCATTCTAGGATGCCAAAATCGCAGAAACTGAAGTGACGATATGTACCTACGATTCATGCTTACCAGCATCCAATTCCTCGATAGAAGACTTGATCATGCACACAAGAACGATAAGGTACGACGTAATCGGCCTAGCCGAGACAACACGACGCCATCCATCCAACGCCGTCTATGACACCGGAGAACAACTGTTATTCGGAACATGCTACAGCAGAGGAGTATGCGGTGTCGGCGTTTTCGTCAACACGAGTTTGGCCAGAAACATAGATTTGCTCTAAAAACTACTATCTGGAACGGGAACTTACCATGATTAGCGACTTAACTGCATAGTTAAACAGGATAAAGCGAGTACCTTTGAGGTGCTTGCAAGAACACTGGTGATTTAGGGAGGAAAATAATGAACATCCGACTCCGTGCTTGCCTTTTCGACTCCACAATCCTTCTCTGCTTAACGTATGTGTCAGAAACCTGGTCGCTGCGTTGGCAAGGTAGTGGATCAGTGAAGAAGATATAAAGTGGGCTATGGAAGTGGAAGAAGCAAAGGTACAAGTTTGGTCCTTCTGCAACATTGGCCACCATTCTACGTCAGAACGCCTTCGCTCGTTTACTTCGAAAATTGAATGGAAAATCTGTTCAAACAGCGTTGCAGGAAATACATAAAAGCGACGAAATCGTCAAGTAGCAGCCCGAGCAATAAGAGAGGTGTACCAAAGCCATTGTGGACAACGAATGCGAGGAAAACGAATCGAATGCAAAAAGAGCTGAAATCCTAATTGTAGATGTGATTACAGCCCATGTAAACAAAGGAAATCCGACACGAAATGCGTAGGAACGCTAACCGATGGACAAGAGTTATTAGCGACTAAATTCCTTGGATGTCAGATGTGCAGCCGGAAGACCACCTCCTTTATGGTATGTTTTTCGTAAAAATCCTGAGAAAAAATATATGATTTTCAACGAGTCCTAAGGCGTTCAGTACACACTGGGATACTCTACCACGCAGCAGGGAAAAATTAAAGCCCTACTGATGCTCGCTGGAATCAGTCGGCGATCAACGAACAGAGTGGCAGGTGGTGGAGGTGTTGAATAAAAAAAACGATCAAATTGCTCGAATTAGCCTGATATCACACTTTTTTAATTCTTAGGCTCTACATATATGTGCATATATAAACCTATATATGAAAGGCAAATTGTACTTGCAAATACTTTGCAAATAAATTTATACTAGAGGGAAAAGAGAAGTGCACAGAGACGCCCTACAATACATATGCCGTCGATGGTTCGATGTCGGGCTCACTAACTCTACCGCTCACCGAGAAAGGCAAATTGGTGCCAGATACGTCTGTGAGAATAGCGACACTAACTTGATACATCTGTAAGCAACCACAATCCATTGTCCATTGTATAGGGCAGATATGCATTTAATGACTTCTATGATGAAGGATGCGCCATGCATTTGGTTTCATTAAGCATCGTTGGAGAAAGGCACCTCCGACGACCGCGCCACACGTGGCCTATATATATACTTACTTGATACTTGAACGGCCCGTCCTCACTGGTTGTGCCGGTCCCAGCATGATCTCCAATTTTGGTGTTCTATTGGATTGGCCACTGTATTTCTTTAGAGTCTCGAGGTTGTGTTTAGCCAAAGTCTCCCTCGGGATCATCACGACCACAGACAGTCGACAGCCTTGTGGGTCAGAGGGAGATTTGCCACCATGAGACTACTTTGATACCAGGATGGTGGCAGATCTTGATATTGTTTTACTCTTAGCTGAGCTTCCTGCTGCAAACGCCGGACTCCTTCTGAGCATGGGAAACCCTACCGGAGAATAAATCTTTCCGCTGTACATCGC